GCTTACTCTGTGGTTAGCTAGCAGCTGATGGAGCTGTTGCTCCTGTCAACACTGAGGTCCCAGCTGATTCACCCACCTTTCTCCCCTGCCCATCCAGTATCCCCTGATAACACGCCCAGCCCTGGGAACACAAGGGTTTCCTGACCTGCCTGCTCACCTGCCCTTTCTCTCCTATAGCTGTCTGTGAGATCCATGCCAACCTGGAACCCTCGCTCAGCCTGTTCTGCTCCGGCTCCTGGCAGCCCAGTGCAGTGCCTGCCAGCACAGAGCACCTGGATCCTTTGTTGAAAGGTGCTCCAAAGCATTTGCCCAGTCGTCCTGACAAGGGCTTCACAGGTAGGCCTCCTGTCCCCACAGAGGAGTTCTATGATGGGTCCAAGACACAGCAATGGCCTCAGGCCTGAGTTCTGCAGATTTGTTGTGTGCCTGGAACAAGTCATGTCACTGTTCTTTTTCCATCTGGAAAATGGGGATAGTAATCCTAGAACACTGGGTTTACCGTGAAGGTATAATGAGCTGGTATCTATAAAGGCACCAGGCAAAGAGCTGAGTGCACCAGAGCTCACTAAGTCTAATTCTTTGATTTGTTGAATGAGCCTCTTCACAGTGCTAATGTGCAGGATCATGAGGACCCCAGGAATTCACTTTATCTGAATTTTGGCTGGGTTGGGTTGGGATGATGGGCAAGAAACAAGATCCCTGGAGTAGTCAGTCATCAAGTGCCTGTCTAGTCCCAGACACTGCTGTGTCTCCAGCTGTGATCCTCCCCCAGCTTTGGGCTGCCTTCCCTGCGCCTCCTCCTCCGAACAGCCTCTCTGGGGCTCTCTCACCTCTCTTCTGTTACACGCTCTAGCCTATCTGGTACTCCTGTTCTTCTCACTCCCTTCCCTGTGAAGGCACCCTGCTTAGTGGCTCAGAGCTCAGGCTAGGGAGTCAGACCTGAGTTTATATCCTGGCTATGCTGCTTCCCTTTCTGGCCCTTGACACCTAACCTGCCCTCTGAACCTTGGTGCCCTCAGCCATAAAGTAGGAGATAATAACAACCTGCTTAATGGGTAACTTGGAGGATACAGTGGATCAAGTCTGAAGCTAGCATGTGGCAGGAATGCTCAGTAGCTGGTCATCTTCATCATCCTTTGACCTTTATTTTGTGTGCAGATCTGGTCTCCTGGGTGCTTTTAGAAGCTGCTGAGGGCAGGCACTCTGGTTCACTCTATCGCCCTCCCTGCAAACAATACAGAGGGCAGGAGATGACGTAGCATGTGCTAGAAACATACAAGGTCATCCTGGAACCTCCAGGAACCTCTAATCTGGTAGGGCTGAGTCTACTGTAAAAATTGTAAGGGGGCTACTTCAATAACCCACTTCCTACAGCTAATGTTTTCCATTGCTCTAAGACTTGGGGCAGGCATCACCTTCAGGGAAGCCCATTTGGCACCACCTCCGCTCCCACAATTCCTGGCCAAGTGTTGCTACCAGGTTTCAATAGGTCCTGTGCTTCCCACCCTCCCTCTGGTACTTGGCGCTCAGTATTGGAATTGCCCCTGTCTTCATATGACTGTCCCAGTCAGTTATAATTTTTGAGAGGGCCTGTTCCCATTTTAGTGATATTTCTCCGCTAAGGCCTGGCACAGAGTGAGGGCCCAGGAATTGTCTATTAAAGGAGTGGATACAGGCATTAGAGCAGAGCTGTGTCTGAGGGCTTTGGGGTAGGCTTCCTGGAAGATGGATGGCAGGAGCAGGTGTCAAAGGCTGCGCACGCGCTGTGCAGCCCCACGCCTGGTGCTGTGTTGCTGTCCCTCACAGTACTCTTGTGTCTGTTTTCTTCAGATAAGCTCTTCTACATCTACACATCCGGTACCACAGGGCTGCCCAAAGCCGCCATCGTGGTGCACAGCAGGTGAGGGGCAGGTGTTCAGTGTGGGGATCAATGTGGGCAGGGCCTGGGAGCCCCCCCTCTTCCCAGGAGCCCACCTGGCCATTCATCCTATGCCCTCCCAGGTATTACCGCATGGCTGCCTTGGTGTACTACGGATTCCGCATGCGGCGTGATGACATTGTCTATGACTGCCTCCCTCTCTACCACTCAGCAGGTAGCCCGGGCCCACCCCTTCTGCCTCCAGCACCCTCCAGAACCACAGGAATTCCACTTTTCTTGTCAAGCAGCACATCACAGTAGAAAAATAATGAGCATTAGAGTCAAATCTGGGGCTGGATGCAGTGGCTTGAGCCTGTAATCTGAGCACATGGGAGGGTGAGGCAGGAACATTCCTTGAGGCCAGGAATTTGAGATCAGCTTGGATAACATAGTAAGACCCTGTCTCTTCAAAAAATTAAAAAACTGTGCGGCGACTGTGACTCAGTGAGTAGGGCACTGGCCCCATATGCCGAGGGTGGGGGGTTCAAACCTGGCCCCAGCCAAACTGCAACCAAAAAATAGCTGGGCATTGTGGCAGGTGCCTGTAGTCCCAGCTACTCAGGAGGCTGAGGCAAGAGAATCACCTAGTCCCAGGAGTTGGAGGTTGCTGTGAGCTGTGATGCCACAGCATTCTACCAAGGGCAATAAAGTGAGAATCTGTCTCTACAAAAAAAAAAAAAATTTAAAAAGTGGCCAGGTGTCTTGGTTCAACACCTGTAATCCCAGTACTTGGGAGGCTGAGGCGGGTGGATTGCCTGAACTCATAAGTTCGAGACCAGCTTGAGCCAGAGCTAGACTCTGTCTCCTAAAAAATAGCCAGGCATTGTGGCAGGTGCCTGTAGTCCCAGCTACTTGGGAGATTGAGGTCAGAGGGTCGCTATGAGCTAAGACACCACAGTAACTCTACCAAAGGTGACCAAGTGAGTCTCGGTCTCAACAACAACAACAAAAAATTTAAAAACTAGCAGGACCCAGAGGCACTTGCCTGTCATCCCAGCTAAATGAGAGGCAGGAGGAACACTTGAGCCCAGGAATTTGGGGTTGTAGGGAGCTATGATGACACTACTGTACTCTAGCGAGGTGAAACAGCAAGACCTGTCTCTTAAAAAAAGAAAAAACAGGCCAGGCGTGGTGGCTCACGCCTGTAATCCTTGTACTCTGGGAGGATGAGGCAGGTGGATAGCTTGATTGAGCTCATGAGTTGGAGACAAGTCTGAGCAAAAAGCAAGACCCCATCTCTACTAAAAATAGAAAAACTGAGGCAGGAGGATTGCTTGAGCCCAAGAGATGGAGGTTGCTGTTAACTATGATGGCACAGCACTCTATCCAGGGCGATAGCTTGAGACTCTGTCATAAAAAGAGGCTCAGCATCTGTGGCTCAGTGGCTAGGGCACCAACCACATACACCAGAGTTGGCGGATTCGAACCCTCAACAATGACAACTACAACCAAAAAATAGACGGGCATTGTGGTGGGCACCTGTAGTCCCAGCTACTTGGGAGGCTGAGGCAAGAGAATTGCGTAAGCCCTAGAGTTTGAGGTTGCTGTGAACTGTGATGCCACAGCTTTCCACCGAGGGTGACATAGTGAGACTCTTGTCTCAAAAAAAAATTAAAAACATAAATAAAAACAACTGGGTGGCGCCTGTGGCTCAGCGTGCAGGGCACCAGCCCCAGATAAACAGTAACAAAAAATATCTGGGCATTGTGACAGGCACCTATAGTCCCAGCTACTTGGGAGGCTAAGGCAAGAGAATCGCCTAAGCCCAGGAGTTGGAGATTGCTGTGAGCTGTGACGTCACGGCACTCTACCAAGGGCAATAAAATGAGACTTTTTTTTTTTTTTTTTAGAGACAAAGAAAAACAGCTCTGGCCATTGACTTGATCTGTCTTGTCTATTAAATAGGGGTGTCCACACTAGTCTTACATACAGTGTGTGTCTGGCAGTGTTCCATGGGGTATCTGGGCTGGTCTAATATTTCAGTTCGTTTCCACAGATGTGCATGGCATTGCAGCTCAGTCCTAGGGGGTTAAGGGTAGACAAACTTAAATAGATGTAGTTCCTGTCCTCCAGATGCAGAGAGCGGAGAGTGTTCCTGAGCATAGAGGAGGGGCAGGGAGCAAGGGGAAAGAGCTGGTGTGGAGCTAGGAGGCTTCTGGGAGGAGGTCCCTCAAGACAGACAGATGTGAAGGGCAGGACCCTGAAAGGGCAGCTCTGTCCTGCCTGGCTGAAGGGCATTTTTATGGGTTTAGGGCAAACTCTCCTGGGAGCCATAGAAGGTGTTTGAATAGAGGAGAGATATATTCATTGTTGTAGACAGGGCAGGAAGAGACCAGGGGAAACCTGAGAGGAGGTTGGCCTGGGTAAGGTGGGGAGCAACTGGTGGGGAGGATCTTTGGTCTCTGACCTCAGAGCCCATCCCCCATCCTTTAGGAAACATCGTGGGAATGGGGCAGTGCCTGCTTCATGGAATGACGGTGGTGATCAGGAAGAAATTCTCAGCTTCCCGGTTCTGGGATGATTGTATCAAGTACAACTGCACAGTGAGTGAGAAGGGAAGGGATGGAGGGAGTGGTGGGCTGTTCCTGTCCCCTTGTTATCCTCCCCACAGCTGCACTTGGAGGCATCTGTCTTAGAGCTGAGGTGGCCAGTCATTCAGAAGGGTTTACTTGGGGCAACATTCCCATTGTTTAGATGGGAAGACTGAGGCCCGAAGGACAGAGATTACAAACCCAGCCCCTGGGGAGGGGAGAGGTTTGAGGGATGGGGAGGTGAAGTGAGGGTAGCTCAGGAGTGAAGACTCACACCAAGTCCACCCCCAGATTGTGCAGTACATTGGCGAACTCTGCCGCTACCTCCTGAACCAGCCGCCCAGGGATTCAGAAAACCAGCATCAAGTCCGAATGGCATTAGGCAATGGCCTCCGGCAGTCCATCTGGACCAGCTTTTCCAGCCGCTTCCACATCCCCCAAGTGGCTGAGTTCTATGGGGCCACTGAGTGCAACTGCAGCCTGGGCAACTTCGATGGCCAGGTTCGGCCAGGTTGGGTTGGGGAAGGGCAAGGCCATTGTGGGATGGTCCATGGGAGATAGTGGGGAGCTGAGAGGAGGGCAGAGTTCCAGTGCTAGAGTCCCCCACCCTTATTGTCCGGTTTTGGGCCCACAGTGGGAGAGCCCGGGCCTCAATCTCAGTTTTCGCAGGTGGGGGCCTGTGGCTTCAACAGCCGCATCCTGTCCTTTGTGTACCCTATCCGGCTGATACGAGTCAATGAAGATACCATGGAGCTGATCCGGGGGGCCGATGGTGTCTGCATTCCCTGCCAGCCAGGTCTGTCTCAGGCCAGAATTGGGTCAGCGAGGGAGAGGTTGGCCTAGGAAGCCAGGCATGGGTGGCTGGGGAGCCATGTTCTGCTCTGTGGCCATCAGTCAGCCAGTCAGCTCTGCTCCTAGGGTCGCAGGCTACTCATTTCGTTGTCCATCCATTCATTCACCTGTCCATCTGTCCATTCATTCATTGTCATGTTGATTCAAGAGGACACTGAGTCCAGGCTGCTTGGGACTGATTCTGGCTCCGCCCCTTAGTTCTGTGTCATGGCTAGTTACTTGGCATTTCTGTGCCTGAGTCCCCTTATCTGCAAATGGGGCTGATAGCAGCACCCTCCCCATCAAGTTGGCCTGAGGGTTGAGTGTGGTAAAGAACATAAAGCTCTGTGAGCAGAAGGCACAGAGCAGGGGCTTGCTGATGCTGCCTATATTGGCCCGTCCCTGTGAAGCCTGCCCTGTCAGCTGTGGTTCATCTTTCCATCCACTCAGTGAACAGATATCACCACGTGTCTAAGTGTGTTAGACCTGCCAAGATGAGATCACAGGCTAGGGAGAAGAGGGGCATCTCTGGGGCAAGCAGTATGACTCCAGTCAGATAAAGATGCAGGGTGCATTTGGCAAGGGGGGACAGGTAGCAGAGGCTGCTTAGGCCACATCTGAGTCAGCCTGTCCTACCCGCCAGGTGAGCCGGGCCAGCTAGTGGGCCGCATCATCCAGAAAGACCCCCTGCGCCGCTTCGATGGCTACCTCAACCAGGGTGCCAACAATAAGAAGATTGCCAAGGATGTCTTCAAGAAAGGGGACCAGGCCTACCTCACTGGTGGGTGGGTCCCCAACCCTTCACAGCCCCTTCCCTAGGGGGTGGAGAGAGATAGGGGACCTTCCCTCACCTTTGGAGAACATCTCCCCAGGCCTCCTCCACCCCAGCCCTTAGGATAACACAAGTCTTAGGCTCCAGCAAGGCCTGCCTGGCTCAAGCCCTAGTCCAAGGTCACCTGGCCCAGACTCTGCCTCATAAAACCCTCCTGCCAGGCGACGTGCTGGTGATGGACGAGTTGGGCTACCTATACTTCCGAGACCGCACAGGAGACACATTCCGCTGGAAAGGCGAGAATGTGTCCACCACTGAAGTGGAAGGCACACTCAGCCGCCTGCTGGACATGGCTGATGTGGCAGTGTATGGTGTCGAGGTGCCAGGTATGTGTGGGGAGAATTGTGTGTAGAGGCTTCACTTGGGGAAACCTCCAGCCACTCACTGTCCACCTTTATTGCCCCTAGGAACTGAGGGTCGGGCCGGAATGGCTGCTGTGGCCATTGCTACTAACAACTGTGACCTAGAGCACTTTGCACAGGTCTTAGAGAAGGAGCTGCCCTTATATGCCCGCCCCATCTTCTTGCGTTTCCTGCCTGAGCTGCACAAAACAGGTATGTCCCTTTCCTGTGTCAGTTCTTGGCTTCCAAGCCCAGTCCCCTTCCTGTTTCCTTCTGCAAAGACCCAACTGGCTGGGGGTGGTGCCTATGGCTCAGTGGGTAGGGCACCTGGCCCCGGTCAACTGTAACAAAAAATAGCTGGATGTTATGGCAGGTGCCTGTAGTCCCAGCTACTTGGGAGGCTGAGGTAAGAGAATCACCTAAGCGCCAAGAGTTAGAGGTTGCTATGAGCTGTGATGGCACGGCACTCTACTAAGGGTAACATAGGGAGACTGTCTAAAAAAAAAAAAAAGACCCAACTGGCTGTCACGTGACGTGCTGGTGATGTGACCTCTACCCACAGCCTGGCCAGGTAGTTGGTAAACTGTCCATGTGGAGCTAAGCAGACTAAGCCTTCAGAGAGAAGCTCATGGTTCCTTGGTAGCTCAAATATTGACTATCAAGCATTGTGCTGGGCCTTGGGGATCTAAGAGAACAATTCTGATGGGAACTTTCCCATCTTGGGCCTTTTAGAGGGGGAGGCAGCCACAGGACAAAGAATTCCAAAGATAAAGAAGGGACCACAGATCCAGCTAACAGAAGAGCCAATGAAGGGACAGTTGCAATGACTGGAAGGGTCCCTTGAGGAGGTGATGTTTTAGCTGAGACCTGAAGGAAAGGGGTGGAAGGTATTCTAGGCTTGGAAATAGCAAGTGTGAAGTCCCCAGGACAGGAAGGAGCTTGGAATGAAAGGAGGCCCCCAAAGCTACAGCCAAATGAGAGGGGCAGGCAGTGGCATGGGGTGGGAAAGAGACCAGCACAGGCCAGAAGCCCAGGATCTTGGGGCCCAGGGTAGATATTTGGATTATTCTGGGGACAGTAGGGAACTACAGTGTTTGAGTGGGATAGTGACCTGGTGAGATTCAGATTCTACAAAGTTCTCTGGCTGGTCTGCGGGGAGTGGGGAAGGACTGCAGGCAGTCTAGGAGCAGTGGGGAGAGGCATGAGGGGCTATTATAGTTGGCCAAGTTGAGAGGTGAGCTGTGGGTCCCCAGTCACACACAAGGGCAGTACCATCTTTCTGCCTGGCCCACCAATGGCTTTCAGGAGTTTCCTTGTGGGCAGGAAGCACTGAGGCTTGTGCCCAGATCTGCCCCTTCTAGCTCTCTGTGTTCTGCTTGCTCTTGGATCATATCTACCTGGCAACTTCCCATGGCATCATTATGTCAGTGCCAACATTGATGGCAGGCCTTCCCTGACTGTACTGGACCTGCCAGATAGTGGGCACCTGGACCTCTAGGAGCACCTGAAGCAGCAGGGGAGTCCAGGGCTTCAGGGTGAGGACATTAGTGCCAGGCTTATGACCAAGATTGTGAGTTCCATAAGGATTGGCTGACACCATGACTTCTGTCCAGGGTTTCAGACCGGCCTGTGTGTCGGGACCCGCAGAAACTGTATTAAAGGGCCATAGCATTAGGAAGGTTGAGAACTACTGCTATACAGCAAACCACTCCTAAACTTAATTTGCCCCCACATGGAATGAAATGACCATTTTATTTGCTCACAGTTCTGTGGATCAGCAGCTTGGAGGTTAGGTTCAGTTGAGTGGTTCTCAGGTTGGCCTTGCCTGGGGTTACTCAAAGAGCTGCCAACACTTAGCAACTCAACTGGGGCAGGAGGTTCCCAGGTGTCCTAACTCATGGTCTAGCTTTCTTACACAGTGGCTTCTGCATCACTGTCCAGCAAAACTTTCTGCAATGATGTAAATGTTTAGGATCTCCACTGTCCACCACAAGTAGCTGCTTGTCCTGAATAGCTATTGTACACTTGAAATGTACCAAGTGTGGCTGAGGAACTAAAATTTAAATTTTTTTTTTTTTTTTTGAGACAGAGTGTCATTTTATTATCCTTGGTAGAGTGCTGTGGCATCACAGCTCACTGCAACCTCAACTCTTAGGCTCAAGAGATTCCCTTGCCTCAGCCTCTCAAGTAGCTGAGACTACTGGTGCCCACCACAACGCCCAGCTATTTTTAGAGATGAAGTTTCACTCTGGCTCAGGCTGGTAAAACCTGTGAGGTCAGGCAATCTACCTGCCTTGGCCTCTCAGATTGCTAGGATTCTAGACAGGCATGAGCCACCTCACCTGGCCTGAAATTTAAATTTTGTTAGTTTTTCTTTTTTTTAGAGACAGAGTTTCACTTTATTGCCCTTGGTAGAGTGCCGTGGCATCACACAGCTCACAGCAACCTCCAACTCCAATTCTCTTGCTTCTTGCCTCAGCCTCCCAAGTAGCTGGGACTATAGGCGCCTACCACAACGCCTGGCTATTTTTTGTTGTTGTTGCAGTTTGGCCAGGGCCGGGTTTGAACCCGCCACCCTTGATATTTGGGGCCAGTGCCTTACCGAGCCACAGGCGCTGCCCGATTTTGTTAATTTTAATTAAAATAGTCACATAAAGCCACTGATGACCCTATGTGACAGTGCTGGTCTGGGGGTCTCACCTGCATAGTTCATCTCTGTTCTTCATGGCTTCTTATCCTCAGAAGGCTAGCCTGAGGTTGAGTGTGGTAATTCACACTTCTAAAAAATATAGCTGGTCCTCATGGTGGGCTCCTGTAGTCCTAGCTACTTGGGAGGCTGAGGCAAGAGAATTGCTTGAACCCAAGAGTTTGAGGTTGCTGTAAGCTAAGACGCCATGGCACTCTACTGAAGGTGACCAAGTGAGACTCTATCTCAAAAAAAAAAAAAGGCTGGATGGTACCTGTGGCTCAAAGGAGTAGGGCACCAGCCCCATATGCTGGAGGTGGCGGGTTCAAACCCAGCCCCAGCCAAAAATTGCAAAAAAAAAAAAAAGCTAGCCTGATCTCAGGGCATTCCCAAGACCTTGGGGACAGCGGAGAGGAGGAAGGTGGGATCGCAAGGCTCCTTGAGGCCTAGACTCGCCCAGAAGTCCCACAGTGTTGCTTCTACCACATTCTTTTGGTCCAAGGAAGTCATAGGTCAGTCCGGGTTGAGGCCAGTGGAAACTACTTCAGTGGTTCTCACCTTAATGACATGACCCACAGGTTGAGAACCGCTGTTCTAGGTCCTTCTGGAAGAAGTGGCAAAGCTACACTGCAAAGGTGTATAAGGAGGGGAGAAATCTGTGGCTTTTTATTAGTAGCCGTCGCACCCAGGCTCATCCTAGAAGACTGATGATCCCAGTCTGCTCATCGTACGGTGGGGCTAATACTATTGATTGGAAGAGGCACAATTAGCTGGGTGCCGTGGCTGTGGGATGCTCAGAGGGGAGGCTTACTTGAGCTCAGGAGTTTTAGACTAGCCTGAGCAAGAGTGTTACCCCGTCTCTACTAAAAATAGAAAAATTAGCCAGGAGTGGTGGCTCCCGGTGCTGTAGTCCCAGCCACTCACTGCTCCAGAGGCCGATGCAAGAGGATTGCTTGAGTCCAGGAGTTTTAAGTTGCTGTGCACTGGGCTGACCATGCCTCCCAAGGCTGGGAGTGGTGGCTCACGCCTGTAATCCTACCACTCTAGGAGGCTGAGGAGGGTGGATTGCCTGAGTTCATGGGTTTGAGACCAGCCTGTGCAAAAGTGAGACCCCATCTCTAAAAATAGTCAGGCACTGTGGCAGGCACCTGTGGTCCCAGCTACTTGGGAGGCTGAGGCAAGAGAATTACTTGAGCCCAAGATTTTGAGGTTGCT